TTATGGTCGCCTTCCCCACTTATCGTGAGCTAGAAAAATATCCAGGCTGTGCCAAGAGCTACCTAAAGATCCTAAAGGCTGGAGGGGTAAATCCTTGGAGTCCAGACCCTGGAAAAGTGGGAGAAGCTCTTCAGATCCGTGTTGGAGCAGTGACAACCCTGGGCCTGCTCCAACCCGAGCTCCCAAGGGTGACAAGGGGACCCCTCCTGCTCCCTGGGGACCCTCGGCAAATCTTCCCAGGAGTTTTGTTGAGAATTTTCTGGGATGAGGGTGTGCAGTCAGTGTTGGTCAGTGCCTGCTGGGATGGGGTGTCCTGGCACGATTTTGGGCTTAAAATCACCCAAAATCATCAATTTTGGTGCTTGTGCCTGTGCCAGTCCCCGGACAGACAAATCCATCAGCTGTGAGATCCCAACCCAGTCAGGTTTAGCTTTCCTGGAGTCCTGAATCTGCCTTGAAAAGAAGTTCCCTGCAGAAGGAAAAACCTTTTCCACTCTTTTTTTTTTTGCTTGGATGTGGCTCAGACTGACAGGGAACAAGTCAAATACCACCCGGACTGGTGAAATCCCATGAATATAAAATGTAATCAATTAAAATAATGGGCTCTGGGTAAGAGGGTTGGCAGCTGGAGAGGATTCCACTTATCCCACCCTCCTTGGGGACCACAGGGCTGGACTGGACATCCCTGGAGCCTGAGAGAGGAGCAGGAGGCTCTGGAGAGAGAGAATTCATTCCTGTTTTTTACACACGTGGGAAAAGCAAAGTGTCTGGGCAGCGAGGATCCGGGTGGGAAGTTTGGATGGACACGTGGGGTGCCGGCTTTTTTTTTTTTTTTTTGGAGCAGGGAAATTCTGGGAATCATTCCTGCCTCAGGCCCGGGATGGCCTGGCCACGTCTCCAGCTGTGCCCGGAGAGTGAAACCGGCTGGGAGCACAAAGAGCACAAAGAGACGGCCCTGAGTCATCCCAGCATCCAGGAACTGGGGCTGCGGGGAAGCACCAGAGCAGGAGGCTCGGGACAAGCGCTGGGGTTGGGAAAGCTGGGCTGGCTCCAGCAGGAAGGGGAGGTTTCCCTGGATTTGGGGTGTGATGGGATCCAACCTCTGTGGGGTCACATCCCTGTGTCAAGTCATTCCCTGCCCTGGGAATGCTGTCAAAGCAACTTTGGAGCAATAGAGCAGCCAGGAGAGGCCATTCCCAAGGAATCCTTTCCCATCCTGGCTGCAGGTGACTCTCCCACCCCGGTTCTTCCATGAAAATATTTCTGTGTTTTTCCATATTTTTCTTTTCCCCCTCTTTCTCCCAATTTCTTTCCACCACAATCCAGCGGCACAGCGACGCTGGGATAATGGGATGTGACATTTCCCATCACAAAAGGACTCGCAGGGTCGGGGATGACAGGCTCCTTCGGGGCACCAAATTCCAGCTCGGCGGTGACGGGAAAAGCAAGGCTGGGCTGGAGAGGGGTCGGGGAGGCGTGGGCGAGCCGGGGCAGTTTGGGAGCATCCCGTGGCCCAGATGCAGCAGCAGGATCCCGCTGGAAGCTGTGCAAACAGGCGGCTGAGCTGGGAAATGCCGGAGTTTGGGAGTGCTGGGGACTGGCCGGGCCCTGCCCTGCTCCCTCCTGGCCTCCCTGCGAGCCGGGATAATCGGAGGGAGAGTTTCTCTTGGATCGGCTGCTTGCTCACATGCTTTTTGTTGGAAAGCAGGACGAGGCTGGATGTTTCTGGGAGCTGGGGGAGGAGTGGTCCTCCCCACTGCTGCTGGTTTTGGTGGGGAGGGAGGAGGAAACCCCAAAACCTTCACCTTCCTCTGCAAGGACGCGGTGGAACAGATCCAGATCCACCTGCAATTAGCATCTCATCCTTTCCTTCCCCGTTCCAGCCTCGCAGGGAAGCTGGGTTGCCATCCCAGCGGCTCTGCCCTTCCCGGGATGCCAATTCCTCCATCCTGACCTCATTCCAAGGATGGCAGGAATTGAGGAGAGCAAACCCGAGCTTTGAAGCCGCTCGGCCCCGTCACACTCCTGCTCGTGAGGAGCAGCGCAGGGGGAGCCCTGGGTGTTTGGGATCAACCTGGCCTTCGGATAATTAATTAATTTTTGATTAATGCCGGGCCCGCCCCTCGGCTGCTTCCCATGGGATGCAGCCCCCGCACCTGGCTGAGCCCCCTCGGTGTGCCGGGGTCCCCGGGGCCGGCTTGGGACGCTCTCCCAGCCAGGCAGGAGCAGCCCAGCCCTGCTCGGCTGCACTTCCCTGGGTCCCATCCGTCATCTGTTTGTGCTGGTGCCCTGCCAGCGATTGTGCCGATTCCCACACCCACTTTCCATAACCCTCCGTCCTCGCCCGGGCGAATCGCTGGCGAGAGCTCGCCACCCATCCCTTTCCCCTCCTCTCCGATGGGATCAGACACGCTCTGGAGAGGGGGAAGAAAGCGAAGGGGGTGAAAAGAAAACAACAAAAAAAAAAAGATCAAGAGGAAAACACAACGTGACTCACCGCCTTTAATTTATTTGTGTTTATTTATTTATTCCCTCCTCCCCCCCCCACCCTCGGCTGCGACGTGCAGCTTCCAGGGAGCCTCGCTCCGTGTCCGGGGCACCAGGAATGAGAGGGATAAAATTCCCCATTCCCTTGGCAAAGGAAAAAAAATCGCGGAGAGGAGTTCCTGGCGCTCGAGCTGTGCGGCACAGATTTTTCAGGCTGCCCAGGTCTCTGCACGAGCATCCCGTGCCCCGCCAGCTCTCGACACCACCCGGCACAGACCGGAGGGTGGGAATATCTAATTCCACCTCCTACACCGTGTCCTCGGCGGGGGAAAGAGAGAAAGAGGAGATAAAAGGCTGGGAAGCTCAAATGGTGTCATTAGGAACTATTAATGCTCTCATAAAAGGGCATTAATAAACGCGGCAGCTCATCAGTGTCCATTAGCTCGGCTCGTGGCAGGGATCTTTGGGAGCTGCCGGAGTGTGATGCTCCCCTCGCCCTCACCGGCGTGTCAGCAAAGGGGAAAGGGGCTGGAAGGGGGGGTTATTCCTCCTACAAGCCATTCCCCGAGCAAAAAACAAGGAGAAAATGTCACAGGGCGTCACAGCCCACCTCTCCAATCCCTCCCGCATCCCGGCAGCCGTGCCCAGAGCTTGCTCCTTGCTCCCAGGATGGCTGTTTACTATTACAGGAAAAAAAAAAAAAAAAAAAAAAAAAGGCAGGGTTTGGAGCGCTCATCCCGACTTTCTCCCTCCCGCCCTCTTCCTGTTCTCGCCTCTTAAAAAGAAGCTTTATCCTTTGACTCTCCCATGCCCGGGGCTAGCGAGGAACCCGCAGCATCTCGGGGCGAGCACGCAGCCCACATCAGCGGGCAGGGAAGCAGGGAGGAGGCTCGGCCTGTCCCGATAAGCCCCTGGCAAAGCCAGGAATAGCAGCGCGGTCCCCGCACGGGAGCGTTCCTGCCAGGAGCGGAGACAAACCCGCAGTCCCTGCCTTTGAAGAGCCGGGGCTGGCAACCGGCCCCGGCAGCGCGGCGAGCTCGGGATGAGCTCGGGATGCGCCCGGGATGCGCCGGCAGCTTCCCCCTCCCTCCCCGCCGCCGCTCAGCGGCACATCTGGGGGAGCAGGCACAGCTGGAGGGCTCGGGCACATGTGCACATCTGGGCGGAGGAGGCGCGAGCCCCGTGCGGCTGGGCGGGCGGCGCACATCTGGATGGCTGCGGGGTTCGCACATCTGGATGGGCGCGGGGTTCGCACATCTGGATGGGCGCTGCCGAGCGTCTGCGCGCATCTGGATGGGCGCGGGGCTCGCACATCTGGGCAGGGCCACAGCAGCCCCACCAGCACCCGTGTGTCCCCCTCCAGCACCCTCGGGTGCTTCTCCCCTCACACCCTGAGCCGTGCCTTCCCCTCCCGCCGTGACCCCAGGCACCCGAACCTGCCCAAATCGTCACTCATCACCTCCCCGTCACCGCGATATTGCGGCTGCGGCTGCCAAGGTGGCGAGCCAGCGTCGGGGAGCCGAGAGCCAGGGACGTGAGCGGGCTCTTGGCTCCCCCGGTGACCTTCGGTGTGCCAGGGGCAGCTGGCAGGAGGGGACGCTGTCACCGGCCGTGACTCGGTGCGGAGCAGGTTCCTGTGGAGGGAAAGGGAAGCTTTGATCGCGGGGGAGCCGAGGCACCGAGCCCTGCTCCCCACGTGCACTTTTGCTGGGAGTTATCTGAGGCATCTTTTTTTTTTTTTTTTTTTTTTTTTTGGGATAATAACTCCCAGGGCAGGTTAGGACGGAGGAGCCCTGGCAGCAGAGCGTGTGTGGGCAGGACTGGAATAACGGGTGCTGTAGGAGAGGATTTACGAGCGCTGGGAGGTTGGGAATGGCCGGGAATAGCACAGCAGGACAGGGGTGAGGTAGGATGTGCGGGGCCGGGATGTGGATGCAGCTCCTGTTGTTGTGCCTTTGTCCCCAAAGGATGCTCGGTGTCCCAGGAAAGCATCCCAGGATGGGGATGGGGATCCAAGCCCCCTGTGGGACTTGCTCTGCAAGCAGGAGTTTCTGTCGGGAGCAAAGCCAAAGCTTTGCCATGGGAATGCTGCTGGAAATCACCACAATCCCACCTGGAACGGGCCAGCTCTCCCAAATATCGGTGTGCCCAGCGGCACCGAGGCTTTTAATGGAATTATTGTGGCTTTCCCGGTGTGCCACAGCCTGGATCTCCAGAACATTCACAGTCTCCGTGTGCAGGTGACAGCAGTGTCACCTGTGTGCCAGGGCATTGTGGCTTGAACCACTAAATCCCAAATAGCCAAAGAAAAACCCTGGCATGCTCCTTCCCACCCACCCCCGAGGAGCGGCTCCCAAGTGATCTTTACAAGGAAAACACACAAAATGTTGGGAAATGAATCCCTGGGGAGTCGTGGGCACAGCTGGGGGTTGGGGCAGGAGGGACCCGTCCCCTCACGTGTTTCTCCCGAGGGTCCCAGTTCCACCTCACCTCCCTCTTTTTTGTCCTTTCAGGGCTCGGATCTGAGGGTTGGGAAGATCAAAGGGAAGGTCCTGACAAGTGAGTGCAGACCCCAAATTGAGAGATGGGGTCTCAGCCAGCTGGGACGAGGGGGTGGCACTGCTGGCTGGGGGGGGGGCACACCAGGACACGAGGGAGACACAAGGGGGGGACACGAGGAGCTCCCCAGGGCACAGCTGGGCGCTGTCTGAAATAGAAGCCACTTTTTCTCTTATTTCTTCTAGAGGCAAAAGTGGTTTAAAAACTCCCTAGCGGTTGGAAAGGCTCCAAACCAGAGCAAAAAAAAAAAAAAGAGGGGGGAGGGATAAAACCCAAAAGAAAAACACAAGATAAAAGTGGGTGAATCCCAACAACTCCTGTGATGTTGCAGGAACAAAGACTTTCATTTCAAAACGGGCCAGACGTGGCTTGGGGAGGTCACACCCCAGGGGAGAGGGGCTGGGGACTCACCTGGCTGCAGGTGAGCAGTTTCAGCCTCTTGTCCCTCGGTGTCACATCCTCCTGCCCCTGATGGAGAGCGAGGGGATCCCATGGATGTCCCTTTCCCAGGGACAACCATCCCTCTCTGTCCTCAGCAGCTGGACACGCCCTGAGCCAGCTGCAGGCCCCACATCTGGGCAGCTGTGCACTGACCTCCCCCAAGCCTGGAGCACAGCGTGGACCCCAAGACCCGGCCGGGGCAGCCCAGGGGGTGCAGGCCATGCCCTGGTGGGGGGCTGGGGGGGGGTCTCGGGTTTGTCCCCTGCCCAAGGAGGGTGCAGACACCGGAGGGAGGATGGAGGACAGGTCAGGGTGATCCCGATGTGGTGAGGAGCTGTTTTGGTGACCACTCTGCCCGTGGAACACCTGAACTGGTGCGTGGTGAGGAGTCCCAGTGCAGGGAGCTGGGAGCTGATCCCGGTCTGGAGGAGGGTGATGGAGAACAGGTTCCGGTGGGAATTTTGGCTCAGAGGGACCCTCAGGTTCCGGTGGGAATTTTGGCTCAGAGGGACCCTCAGGTTCCGGTGGGAATTTTGGCTCAGCCCTTCTCTTCTCCATCTCAGGTTACGGGCGGCCCAAACCCCCGCGCTACAGCGGCTACCACCGCTACCAGTTCCGCTTGTACCTGCAGCCGGAACACGAAACCATCGCCCTGAGCGAGGAGGAGAGGGATTCGCTGGGTAAGGACCCTCCGCGCCCTCCATCCCAGTCCCGAGGGGCTTTTCCAGGGCTGTGGATTACGCCGAGTGCTCGGGCAGGCTGGGGATGCTCGCTGGGTGCAAAGGGATCCCTACAGGGGACGTGGGTGAGGTGTTAAATCCTTGCCAGGCAGCAGAAAACCCTTGGAAAACGTCTGGTAACGGCCTGGCTAGCGGGATCGGAAGCAGGGAGAGATGTGGGCTGTGAAATTCAGCCCTTGCTGGCACATCCCCCCCAGCCCGAGCCGCGGGAGTTGCATCACCGGCACCTCGGAGCAGGCGGATAAGGATCAGCCGTGGAGAAGGTTTAGCAAGGGATTGCTCAAACCGGGCTGACACAACCGCCCGCCAACTCCCAGCTGCCCAACTCCTCCCAAAAAAATCTTCCAGGGAAGGGATGGAGCAGCAGAGACCCCCGAGATGCTCAGGGGACCCTTCGTGCTGCTCCATCCTGGGACCCCGGGGTGGGCAGGGGTCCATCCTGCCCGATGCCAAGCCCGGGCTCCTCCCTGCCCTGCCTGGAACTCGGGGCTCTGTGCTTCACGTGGCCTCCACAAGGGAAATTTCAAAACTTTCCCAGCTGGGACCACATGAGCAGGGCTCGACGGGCAGGTCAGGTCGGTGTGTCTGGGCTGCGCTGCCTGACTCACCCCGTGCCTGGTGACCCACAGAGCACGGCCCGGAGTGGGGGGCTGGCTCCGGGGGGGGGGGGGGGCTCTGGGACAGCCCCTGACCCTCCCCCAGCACGGAGCCGTGGTGCTGATCCCATGGACAGAGCGGGATTCGGCTGCCACGAGTGTCCCTGCGGGTTCTCCCTGCCCTCGGCTTTGTTTTCTGGCTCATTAGCTGCGCTGCTTAATGACACCGCTGATGTCACCCCCCTGGCAGCGGAGCCGGCCCCTCATTCCTGCTCGCAGAGGGGGGCTCCGTGTTATCCCCACATTTCCACCTCAGCATCTGCGAAGGGAAGCAGAGACACCCACCAAGGAGATTTTTCCAGATAAATCCTGTTATTAGCAGGGAATGCAGCTCCGGAAGCCCAAATTCCACCCGCTGGGGAAGGTCCCCAAGGCGAGGGGTGGCCGGGCATTCCCCTCCTGGCGCTGCCTCCATCCCATCTGTGTTTCCCAGCCCTTCCTTCGCTCCCTGGGAAAGACCCAGAGGATATTTTTCCACAACATCCGATTCCTGAGCATCGTTGGTCAGGCGGCTGCGGGGGTCCGGCAGGGGCTCGTGTTTAAGGAGTTTGGTTGAAGGTTATTTTTAACCATTTCACTGCTGCATCACATCCCTGGCCTGGCCAAGGGGATGCTGCTGGATTGAGACACCCACAGCCCACATCATCTTTATTCCCAGGGAATGAGCCCTAAAAGCAGCCGAAGAATGAGATTTCGGTGTCTCGAGGGTTTTAAATAAATCCATCCCCAAGGCAGTGGGATGAAGGCTGATGGATCTGCTGGTGCCTCCAGCCCTGTGGTGAGAAGGCAGCGCACGGGGGAGAGGAGCAGACACCTTCGGCAGGAGGTGGGAACAAGGAGGGGGTGACCCCAATCCCAAAGGGTCACGGATGAGAGCCCAGCCCGGGCTCTGCCTTGCTCCTCTCCTGCAGCAGAAGCGATGCAGGCACTCCCGGCAATGCCGCAGGCACAGTTCACATCCTTGCTCAGAATTCCCCATCTTATCTGGCCTCAAATGAGCCCCTTCCTGCTGTTTTTACTCTGTCCTACATCTGGTGACAGCGACATCTCCGTCTCACCAAGGATGGGGACACCCATCATCACCAACCCTGGACAGGGACATGTCGTGGCCGGGCTCCGGGAGTGGCACTGGCCCATCCAAACCTCCAGCGCTGCATCCCCGTGCCGGGCATCCCCCTCCTCTGGCAGCTCGTCCCCTGGCAGAGCTGAGCCCCACCAGAGCGTTTCTGCTGCCAGAAAAGCTCCCTCCTGGCACGGGCTGTGTATTTTGGAGGCCAGGCCAGGCAAGGTCCCGGACCAAGGTCCCCGAGCCGGGGGAGGTGACAGTGCCAGGCGGGATGGCAGGAGCTCGGCCGGAGCCTCCAGAAGAGGGCACTAAACCAGGACCTGCCCGCGTCGCCTGTCCCTGCTCCTGGAAAAGGGAATTTAAAACGCGAGGGGCAACGGCGAGCGTGGAAAAGAAATCCCTGATTCTTCTCCCTCCTTGCCTGGCTGTGCAAAGCCAGCAGCTCCGAGGGAGCGGGGACATTTCCACGGTGCCCACCCTGCCCTGGCGATGTCCCGGCTGGGATGGCACTGACGGGCACAGGTCGGGTGCTGGAAGGGCTGCAGGACCTGGACACGTCCCTCTGTCACTCGTGGCAATGTGGAAATCAGTTGTTTATGGCCGAGGTGTTTCTCCAGGGCGGCTCTTGAGCAAAAATCTTGTTTCATCAGGGAAAAAAAAAAAAAAAACCACCCTGATCCTTCCCCGTGAGGGTTTCTGATCTATCCCGGCACCAGCCGGCTCTGTGTGACCTCGGGCAAATAACTCAGAGCCTCAACTTCTCTGGAGTCTGATTCACTTCAGTTTTTGGCCGTGCCACTGAATTTTCATCGTCCCTGCTCAGGAACGAAGGTGGGGACATTTGGGGTGTCCCCACGGCTCTTCCTGCCACTCGCCCCACTTCCCTCGCAGCCAGGAGCGTTACAAGCCGTGGTTGTGTTTTGGGGAGATGCGAGATAATAATTTGTGGTCTGTGAAATGTCACAGCCACCGTGGCATCCCGAGGCGGCAGCGCTCGCCACAGGCTCTCGATCCACGGGAAATTCCTCAGCCGGGGGAATTCAGGCACCCACCAGACCTCGGCTGTGGTGATGGGGAATTAAAGCTCCCCCACAGCTCATCGAGGGGGATCTTTAATTAGCATAAAATATTGAGGCTTAATTGCACCTGAGTTCATCCCTCTGCTTCCACCTTTTCCCATCAGCTCTGGCATTTCCAAAGCCCCTCCTGCCCTGGAAAGATGTTTTACAATCGGGAATGGATTTTTTTTAATTTTTTTTTCCTCCCAGAAATTTTATCTCCGGGAAAGCAACAAGTCCTTTGTGGAGCAGGGGCAGGGATGAGCCTGTGGCTCCATCCCTCTCCAGCTCCAGCTCCGGAGCTCATTGACTCATGAGCCGACCTTGTGCGCCTCCAACCCGATCCACCCAGCTGGAAAATCGGGTTGGACTGGGCCCCGGCGGGGAGGGAAAGGCTGCGGCTGGGACGGGAGGAGGCGAAGAGCTGCGGGGAGAGCACGGTGCCGGCCCGAGTCCCCGGGTGTCACTTCATGGTGACCAAAGCAGCTGGCGGCCTCCCGCCCACCTCCGCTGGGACATCATTAATCTTGGCAGAGAAGCATCAGGGCTCCCATCAGGAGAACATTGCCGCTGATGAGGCTGATAAATTACAGCCGGGGGGCCGGGGGAGGAGGGGGACCGGCGTTTGGGGGGCGGGCAGGAGACAAGAGCAGCGCTGGGAAAGCTGTGGGATCGGAGGGAGCTGCCCGAGCCCGGTGGGTGCCTCGTGCCTCAGTTTCCCCACTCCGGGTGCTCCGGGCTCAGGCGGCCGCGCACGTGTGGGTGTCAGCGGGCACTCCTCTTCCTCCGGCGGCTGAGCAGATAAGGGCCAAGTGGGATGATTTAATCCTTTGGGAAATGAGCTTGAAAGCGGACCAAGCCACGGATGAAACGCCGTATTGTTGTGGCAGGGAGAGAGGGGACAGTGACACGGCGACCTCGGCTCCCCGGCTGGCCCCCTGCTCCTTTGCCGGCTCTGTGATCCCAGTGACTCACAGTGCCCAGCCGGGGTGGCTCGGGATGGCTGGCACAGGGACTTGGTGACGCCGGGATGGGACACGCGCTCTGGGGATGCACCCGAGGGGTCAGGTTTGGTGTAGGGGTACCCGGCACCCCAAATGTGGCACCCCCCGGGTGTATCCCCCGCTTTGCCACACCCGCAGGGCTTTCCCTACCCCGACAGGGGCCGGGCACAGCCGGTGCCAGGGCAGGTAGGAAAGTAGGTCAGGAAAAAACCCCGGCCCCACGAGCGGGGCGAGGGCCGGGGCCGGCGGCTGCAGCCCCGCAGAGGCTCTGCCTCCCCCGGCTCCTTTCATCCCAACATCAGTGACAGCTCCGGCACCCCTGGGAGTCGGGGGTGCCGCGTCTCGCTCTCACCCCGCTCCCGCGTGGCCCCGGCTGCTCTCCCGTGGGCTTTTCCGAGCGCTTTGAAACCCTCCGGATGAAAGGCACCCGGAGAAAGCTGCGGGCGCAGCGGGAGCGGCCCCCCCCGAGGCTCCTTCCCCCGGTGCCACCTTCAGCGGGACCCCCCAGCACGGCGGGGGTTGGGCTGTGACCCCGAAGTGAGGAGCTGCCCACCCTGCCAAGGTGGCATTTGGGGATGGAGGCGTTCGTGGCTCTGGGTCCCGGCTGGGGTGACCCCGGGGCAGGACGTGGGGACTGTCCTTGCTCTCATCCTGGTTTGGGTGCTCGGAGGGTGGCAGGAGACACCTGGGACGCTCCAGCAGCAGCCTGGTGCATTGCAACACCTCATCCCAGCCGGAATGTGGGATGCAGGATCCCCCCTGGGCATCCCGTGAGCTCCAGGGTCCCCCCTGAGCATCCCGTGAGCTCCAGGGTCCCCCCTGAGCATCCTGCGAGCTCCGGGATCCTCCCCGAACATCCTGCGAGCTCCTTCCCGGGCCCTGGAGCATCCAGGAGGTCACAGTGTGCGGTGCCGTCACCACGAGAATCTCCAGAGCTTTTTTTGGAGCTCAGAGCCCGAGGTGGGGAGCAGGTGGGAGCTCCACTGAACTCCCCGAGCCATCACCACCCCACGCAGGTGATGCAGCAGCTCGGGTTTTGCTCAGCACTTTTGCAAGAGGAAAGGGGACGCTGTGCTCGGGTCGGGGCTGAGATGTGACAGCAGATAAAGGCTGCCAGGCTGCCGCGTGACATTCAAGAGAAGCCAGGAAGAGGAGAGGACAAGTTTCAGATAAACAACGGGCCCCTTTCCCCGGTGGCCCACAAGGAGGGGTAGCGTGAGCTGTTTGGGTGCCAGGGAAAGCCCCTCCGGGCAGAGCAGGATGCGCTGGAGCCGCCAGCCAGACCCAGGCTCGGTGCCCGACCCTTGCCAGGCACAGGGGGATTTCTGCCCTGCAGGGGCCGGGTATGAGGGAATCCCTCCTGCCCTTCGCCCTCGAGAGGGTTTCCCTGCCACCTACATGGGAAAAACCACAGCTGGATGCAGCACGAGCTGTCCCCAGAAGAAACCACAGCTGGATCCAGAACAAGCTGTCCCCATAAGAAACCACAGCTGGATCCAGGACAAGCTGTCCCCAGAAGAAACCACAGCTGGACCCAGCACAAGCTGCTCCCCAGACCTGCGGGGATCCTGGGGTCAGGGCAGGCAGCCCTGAGGGAGGAGGATCAGCAATGAGGAACCCTCGAGGCTCCAGAGCCCAGTGAATGCCAGTGAGGGGGACAAGGATCTCCTGTGACATCCCCAGGGGCATTTCCAGCCAGGCCACCCCCGGGGTGGGCTCGTAGGAAGTTTTTCTCCAAAGGTCAGGGGGCAGGAGAGGATTCAGCCCCAGGTACCCCGGGGTGCTCAGAGCTGGGGTCCCCGTGAGTCCCCGCTGTCCCCGAGGCCTCCTGGGGTGTGCAGGAAGTGGTTTGGGGCAGAGCAGCAGCTGCACATGGCTGCTCCCCTCTCCAGCCCTGCTCTCACCCCCTTTTTTTCTCTCTCCCCAGGCTCCTGGGACTTGAACGACTTCGTGGAGGATTTTAATCTGGGCAACCCTGTGGCCTCCACCCAGTTCCTCACCAAAAACTACAAGGATTAACTCCGGCCATCCCTTCCTTGTCCTGCTCATCTCCACACCACAGAGCCACCTCTGCCCGGAGCAGAGGGGGCTCCAGGACCCACGGAGGATGAACCCACCCTGCTCCCAGCCCAGAGCCACAGCTCCAACCCCAACCCCAAACCCCTCCCTTCCCAAAGCCTCTCCTTCCCTCTGGGGAACATGCCAAGGGATATCCCAGGAATTCTGGCATCCCCCCTTCTCCTCCCTTCAATCCCTTTTCTCACCTGACCCCCTGCATGTCCCCCTGGCACTCTGGGGGCTTTGATGCCTGCAGCGTCTCGAATAAAATCTGGATGGAGCACACGGGGCTCCGTGGTGGCAGCGAGCGTGGGGCGATGGCAGTGCCAGGTGAACCCGGCATTTTGGGGTCTGCAAGGGATGAGCAGACCCCTGTGGGTGATGGGAGCGGGGGGTGGCCAGCCAGAGCCTCGTTTAGGTGACCCCAAGGAGGGGACAGGGACAGTGATGCCTGCCCAGGGGTCCCTTGGTGGCACCGCGTGGGAACCGGGCACGGAACCGAGCCCTGCCCTGCCTTTGCCCTCAGCCCGTTCCTCTTGGAAAGCAAAACCAAGATTAAAGGCATAAATCAGCAGAGCTCTGCCTACTGGCCACTTAGCTGGACCTCCCCTTTAATTAGCTCCTTTATTAGGCTTTCATCTCAGACTCAGGTTTCTCCGAGGCTCAGATTCACCCGCCTGCAGGGTCCTCCCTGAAGCACATCCCAGTGTCTGTGACAAAGCCACCTCTGTCCTGCCCATGGCCAGGAATGAGATTCCCCTTGGAACAAACCATGGGCAGCGGGAGCCCAGGACAGTTTGCAGGTGGGGGAAACTGAGGCACGAGGGAATGACTCGCTCAGGGCTGCACAGGGAGGCCTGGGAGCCTTCAGGGGGTTTGTGATGCTCTGGTTGCTGCATCTCGGCTCTGCATCAGTGCCTGGGTGTGGAACAGAACAACCTGATCCTGAAAAAAGGTCTCTGTGTCATCCTGCTGGTCACCCTCCCTGGGTCCCTGGCAGTGAGAGCAGATTTCAGTCCTGCCTTGGGGGTTAAACGTGGATTTCAATCCTGCCTGGGGGGTTAAAGGTGGATTTTAGTCCTGCTTTGAGGGCTTGAACATGGATTTCAGTCCTTCACTGGGGGGTTAAACGTGGATTTCAGTCCTTCAGTGGGAGGTTAAATGTGGATTTCAGTCCTGCCTAGAGGGTTAAATGTGGATTTCAGTCCTGCACTGGGGGGTTAAATTTGGCGGGGACTTTCCCTGCAGGAAGTGTCTCTTTGCCTTGGAGGGGCTGAATCACACCAGGGTCCCGTGGGGCTCTGTCCCCTCCCTCCAGGATGGATCAGAGTACCCAAGGGGGCTGCAGGAGCAGGATCCAGGCTTGTCCTGGCCACACAACGCTGGGTGAAGCTGCAGGAACTGCTGGGAAGCAAAGCAGCAAAAAAAGGAAGCTGGGTAACACCACAACCCAGGGAGAAAAACACGAACCCTGCTGCCACTGGCACTAAGATTAGCAGCAGAGGAAATGACACTGAGATGTCATGGAAGTCTGCTAAAGTTGGATTTCTCCTTCTCTTTTTCTATCCCTGCCCTCGGAGCAGGGTGTAATTGGCCGGGCAGGTTGGAGAGAGGCTGGGGTGTAAATGAGAGGTCACGGCTCTGCTGACATCCCACAGCCAAACTCCAGCGTCCTCCCCCCTCTGCCCTCGGCTCCTCGTGGCCGGGGGGGTATTTTTGGTGGAGAAAGGGAAAACGGATGTTTGTCCTTCTAGGAAATTATCACCCGGGTTTAATTTGGGATGAGAGGAGTCGAACTGAGCTGGGATTGGGATCACTGGGAGGGCCCAGAGTGATCCACTGCCCTGTGGGACTGGGATGGGAAATGAAAATGGGAATGGGGACAGAGATGGAGAACGGGGGTGAGGAGACAAATGGGGGTGGAGATGGAAATGGAGGTGGGGATGGGGATGGGATGGAGAACAAGGATGGGAGTGAGGATGAAGATGGAGAGGGGAGTGGAGATGAGGATGGGGATGAGATGGAGATGGAGGGACATGAATGGAGATGAGGATGGGGGTGGGGATGGGATGGGGAATGGAAATGGGAACGGATGGGCTGAGGATGGATATTCAGAGTGGGAATGAGGAGACAGATGGGGAATGGAAATGGGGACGAGATGGAGAATGAGGATGGGGATGAAGGTGGGGATGCAGATGCGGATGGAGATGGGGACAGGGATGATGCAGGTCAGGAACCTGGCTGCAATATCCCTGTGGTGGATGATCCCTGCCAGCACACAGCACCAGGCACCCGTGGCCTTGTGGGGACACTTGGGCCCACTCAGGGCTGCAAAAGCAGCACCCCCAGCCAGCCTTGCACCACAAACTCTCACTGGGATGCAAGCAAGGCCTCCACGGCGTGGAAAATATTAATTGTGGTTTTCTGGTTCACTTTTTGATTATTTAGAAAGAGCAAAGGAAAAAACTCACAAGGAGGAAGCCGTGTAGTCACTTCGTGCTGGTCCCACCCCCTTTATCTCTCCTTCCATTCGCTCACCATCGGCGCGAGAGAGAAAAGAGAAGCTGAGCCTCTCAGCTGCCTAAATGTAGAAAGTTTTGCTTCTAAATCAGTTTGTGATGGAAAGGAAACACGTCACGTCCCTGGGGAAGTGGCTGGTTTTGAGCAGCCACAACCCCAGCGCCGAGTGCTGCAATGGAACAGCCCAACACTGAAATAGCTCCACGCTCTGTTATTGTCACCCAGAGAAGTTTTTTTTTGCTGTCTACGGGTGTCATTTTTAGCCTCCAGAGGAAGTTTTATTTGTATTTGTTACCTCGACTTTCCACTGTCGTGGCTTTGTGACTTTTTCATGTGAAGGGCTAGGAGAAAACAGAGTGGGGTGAGCTCAGGTGTGGGGTCGGGGGGTGTAAGGTGGGACTACAGCACCAGTGGCACATCCCAGCAATTCCAGCCTGGATTCACCAACTGCATTCCCAGGTCACGAACCCATGGAAACACAGAGTCCCAGGGATTTTGGGGGGCTGTGAGCTCAGCTGAGCCCAGGCATGGCTGTGGGATGGACACAGCTCCCCTTTGCTCTCCCAGGATGGGGCTGTGAGCCGGGTTTGGGCAGTTCCAGCCCCCTTCCCAAAGCAAACCCACCCACTCCATGGGATGACTGAGGGAGAGGAGGACTTGGGAGTTTAAAAATTAACAATGAACTCGTGAAAACTGAGTGCTCTTGGTGAGCAACAGCATCGCCCAGCAGCACATGGGGGGGTGTTCCTTCCCAAAACTGGGCTGGAGTCCAGGAGAAGCTCGTGCTAAACACGAGCTCTAAGCCAACAGGATAACAATTACCTGGTTTTAATAATCATTGAAATAATTAATGGGAGAAAGTCTCAGCCCCTGCCTCAAGGGGGGCAGCCCTGGCTCACCCCAGGAAAATGCAGATTTAAGGCTGGGGGTATTAAGGAGCGGGGACTGGGGGACACCCCTGACACCCCAAAGCCTCGGTGGCACCTGGGGATGGCACAGGGACAACTCAGCTGCCAGGAGCTCTTCGTGCCAGGCAGCAGCTCCCCCTCAGCAGGGGACTTGCTCAAGAAGGGATTAACAGGATCAGCTGATGATGATCTAAGCGCATAACTATATCAACCTGCGAATTAATTACTGATATCTCACACCTCGGAGCTCCTCTATCTGCAGATCTCTGCACTCCTCAAGCGTTCCCTGAGCTAAGCCTGGCTGCTCCCCCCCCGGGAAATAGGTCAGGAGGGATAATCCCCAAATCCCCACGTGCTGCTGGGGACGAGCAGCGCTGCCCATTTTTGGGAGCCGACGTGGGAGAATCCCCCGGCCAGCTGAACATCAGCAGCCCCACGAGATGCTGAGCACCCGGCTCTCCACGTCAGCCACAGGGTGGGCGATGCTGGGATGATCCAGTGAGGAGCTCCCAGCATCATCCCCGTGCTGGGGACACACAAACCCCTCGATTTGGGGGTCCCCTCAGATGGGGATGGGGATGGGGATGGGGATGGGGATGGGGGTGGGAGCCTGCATTGGAGCTGCTGCTCAGCTTTGCTGCTCCAGGAGCTGGCAGCCGGGCGGGCCCTGGGAGAGGCAGCTGGGCCGTGGCAGGAATTTAGGGCTCCTGAAGTAATAGGGAAGGCAGGCAAGGTGAGGACAGGGACGTGTCCCCACCTCTGTGCCCGTGCCAGCACCCAGGGGGGACTGGTGTGCAGCAAGGGACACGCAGGCTGGTCCTGCAGTGATGGTTTCATTAATTAGCAATAATTAATTATTATTTGGCCTTCAAATATAACACCAGAGGAGATTTGTGGGGCTGCCTGGGGGCCCAGGGCCCTGTTAGATCTGGTTTTATTTTGGGGTCCTGGACCTCCATCCTGCCCAAAGGGGCTGGATTATTCAGCCAGGCTCTGGCAGCGTCCTGGGATGCAAATTCCAGCAGTTCCTGAGGGAAAGCAGCAGCTCAGCTGTGCCCAGAGACGCTGCCAGGCATCCCGGGATGAGCATTCAAGGGATGCTCCGTGGGGAGAAACTCAGCCCAGGTTTTGTTTCCTCTTTCAGCTGCTCCCTGAGTCGGTTTGAGCTGGGTTTGTCCGCAGCAGTGGGAAGCTCCCAGCCTCTCCCACTCCTCCAGGAGCCACGAGCACCTTCAGATGTGGTTTGCCCCAAAACGCTCCTCGGCAGAACAAAAAAAAAAAAAACCCAAAAAACAAACAAACAAAAAAAAACCAACAAAAAAAAACCAAAAAAAAACAAACCTAAAGCGTTTTTGATAGGGTGGTCCCAGCCCCGCAGCTTTGCTCCTGCCGTGCCCGGGTGCCTGGCATTGCCCTGTTTATCCCAGCTGGCTGTGGGATGAGGCGGATGCCTGCCGGGTTTTGCATCCCAAGGTGTGGTGGAAGGAGCCGCACGGCTCTGCCAGCCGCCCCTGCTGCTCCCCGGCCAGCACG